CCCCACTGGCAGAGGCGTGACCCAGGCCGGCCAGTGACCTCGTAGCTCCCCACCGCCCCCTAGCGGGCAGGTGGACCGACACTGATCACAGAGTGAAAGAACAATAAGAAAATAAGAAAATAAGAAAATAAGAATGGACATACTGTGTCAGACCAAAGGTCCATCCACCCAGTACCCTGTCTACCAACAGTGGACAATGCCAGGTGCCCCAGAGGGAGTGAACCTAACAGGTAATGATCAAGTGATCTCTCTCCTGCCATCCATCTCCATCCTCTGACAAACAGAGGCTAGGGACACCATTCCTTACCCATCATGGCTAATAGCCATTAATAGACTTAACCTTCATGAATTTATCTAGTTCTCTTTGAAACCCTGTTATAGTCCTAGCCTTCACAACCTCCTCAGGCAAGGAGTTCCACAGGTTGACCGTGTGTTGTGTGAAGAACAACTTCCTTTTATTTGTTTTAAACCTGCTGCCCATTAATTTCATTTGGTGGCCCCTAGTTCTTATATTATGAGAACAAGTAAATAACTTTTCTTTATTCACTTTCTTCACACCACTCATGATTGTATATACCTCTATCATATCCCCCCCTTAGTCTCCTCTTTTCCAAACTGAAAAGTCCTAGCCTCTTTAATCTCTCCTATTATGGGATCAGTTCCAAAACCCTAATCATTTTAGTTGCCCTTCTCTGAACCTTTTCTAATGCCAGTATATCTTTTTTGAGATGAGGAGACCACATCTGTACGCAGTATTCAAGATGTGGATTTATATAAGGGCAATAAGATATTCTCCGTCTTATTCTCTATCCCTTTTTAAATGATTCTTAACATCCTGTTTGCTTTTTTTGACTGCCGCTGCACACTGCGTGGACGTCTTCAGAGAACTATCCATGATGACTCCAAGATCTCTTTCCTGATTAGTTGTAGCTAAATTAGCCCCCATCATATTGTATAAATAGTTCGGGTTATTTTTTCCAATGTGCATTACTTTACATTTGTGCACATTAAATTTCATTTGCCATTTTGTTGCCCAATCACTTAGTTTTGTGAGATCTTTTTGAAGTTCTTCACAGTCTGCTTTGGTCTTAACTATCTTGAGCAGTTTAGTATCATCTGCAGACTTTGCCACCTCACTGTTTACCCCTTTCTCCAGATCATTTATGAATAAGTTGAATAGGATTGGTCCGAGGACTGACCTTTGAGGAACACCACTAGTTACCCCTCTCCATTCTGAAAATTTACCATTTATTCCTACCCTTTGTTCCCTGTCTTTTAACCAGTTCTCAATCCATGAAAGGATCTTCCCTCTTATCCCATGACAACTTAATTTACGTAAGAGCCTTTGGTGAAGGACCTTGTCAAAGGCTTTCTGGAAATCTAAGTACACTATGTCCACTGGATCCCCCTTGTCCACATGTTTGTTGACCCCTTCAAAGAACTCTGATAGATTAGTAAGACATGATTTCCCTGTACAGAAACCATGTTGACTTTTGCCCAACAATTTATGTTCTTCTATGTGTCTGTGATGTTAGAGTTACTGGTCTGTAATTGCTGGGATCACCTCTAGAGCCCTTTTTAAATATTGGCGTTATATTAGCTATCTTCCAATCATTGAGTACAGAAGCTGATTTAAAGGACAAGTTACAAACCATAGTTAATAGTTCCGCAATTTCACATTTGAGTTCTTTCAGAACTCTTGGGTGAATGCCATCTGGTCCCGGTGACATGTTACTGTTAAGTTTATCAATTAATTCCAAAACCTCCTCTAGTGACACTTCAATCTGCGACAATTCCTCAGATTTGTCACCTACAAAGGTGGCTCAGGTTTGGGAATCTCCCTAACATCCTCAGCCGTGAAGACTGAAGCAAAGCAAATAGGAGATACCAAAACATTTTCTACCTAAATTGTGTGCTCATTAGTTCTTGGAATGGGCAATTGCATAGATGTATATGATCTTCCCAGAAAATATATTGGTTTCTGCTGCTTGTTGTGGGTATCAGTAACATTTAGGGGATAAGGAAGTGCCCATCAGGAAGCAGGGCCTGCAGTAGAGCCAGTCCCTCTGCAACCTACCCAGTGCAGCTGGCCTATACTAGGCTGCCTGAATGGCTATACCACCTTATTGGCTGGAAAAGTCAGCAGACAGGCTCTTAATCCCCATAGCAGTACCACCACCATCACTACCACCACAGTGACTGCTCAAAGCATATCCCATGGCTGCAAGAGCTCCTGTGCCTGCTTGCCCCCAGCCCTGCTCTGGGCCTGTTTCTGCCTTGGACCCAGCCTTGCCTGTCTTGCCTCACTCCAGGTTAACTGGTTCTGACCCTTGACTCCAATTCCTGACTTCTGACTCCAGCTCCAACTCCTGCTCAGGTCACTAGGCCCCTGATTCCTGTTCACGCCCCAGTCCTGACAGTACCCCAGAACACTTTCAGAGATGTTTTAATGATTTATTATTATTATTATTTATTATTATGATGAATAGGAGCCTGTCTAGAGATACAGATGCTGTAAAATACCAGTTGGGAATAGATTTGGGATGTAAAGACTGCCTTGCTCAATTTTATTCCCTTCAGCATTTCAAGAATGCAAACCTTACTCTTATTCAGTGCTTTAAGTTCCCTAATTTATAGCTAGACTCCCTTTGAACAAACTCAAGCCATATAGCCAAATAATATGAGGGCTCTAAAATAACTGCAGACAAGGTTCAAGGTGATGAGCACCTCAGAAACCACCTCTTCATTTAATTTATCCCATCATTTCCTTATCAGATAAAAATAGGTGTACAAAAAGCAATTCCAATTACTATAATTCCAATTACCATATTTTATAGTGTATTAGCTTTCTTTAGAACATGTCTTTAGAAGTTCGATATTAACTGAGAAAACTACAAGTAACTTTGCCTGAGTATATTCAGACACTTATTATCTACGTGAGCACTAGTCATTACATTTTTGTCCCATTTAGAGAAACAATTTAATTGCATGCATGCTTGAGCTATTGTGATGATGTCCATAAGGCTTGGTGTGGAAACATGTTTTTATTTACAACAAAAAGCAGAAAGGCTGAAAGAATTATTTGAATTGCAAAACTACTGTATTAGCATTTTAATTTGTTTTTCCCCTCCTGAAAGTCATTATATGAAGAACAAGAATAACCGATCATTTTTTAAAAATGCAACAACTAACTAACAGTTTAGTGCCAGAATCCAGGAGATTTAGTTATGTTCATATGTCCACTTTGGGAGTTCACATAAGAAACCAAACAGAGGGGTTATTATTTTCTTCTTTAGAAGTGGAGAGTGTGTCATCTCTTGCATCAAATAAATGTGGACCTGTTGTATAAATTAAAAGTGATTGCGGAACCACCGGCCAAATAGCATTTTCCATTATCCAGAAATACATTTGTTTAGTCACAAATACCATCCCTTGCTAAACTCAGCATGCCTTGAATGGTAAAACATTCTCTTTCAAATAATACGTATTGCATCTCTATCCACACAAGTCTTTCCTGACTTAAACCTATACATAAAAACATCAGCATTTAAACTCTGTTCATACATATGATTATCAGCTAAAAGTATTTCCGTGTTCCAATTATAAGTGTCAGAATTCTTCAGCTTTACTTACTGCACCTACGCTGTGCCACTACCTTAGGGCTTAATTCTCCATAAAATATTAATGGCCTTTCATTCTGAACAAGGCCATGCAAGTCATGGCAGGTTACAGATCTTGGCTTTGTGGCAGTCTGACCTATTCAGCAGTGAGCGTACTTAATGCTTTTTTTTTTTAAAGAAACCTGGGTGAAAGCCACATTGATCTATACTAGTGAAAAAGATCATACTAATGAGCTCTGCTCCCCCTGAAAACTTTTACGCCTGAATCAGCAGGTGTCTTATTGAGTCACACAATAACATTTTGAATTTTGAAGCCAACGGGGTTATGCCAGCTGAAAGCATGTAGCCGTTTCCATATACATTGATGGGGATAGATTCTGTAGTCCATTTTCTGGAAAATATTTTGGATATTTTAAAAAAATAATGTTTAAAAAAATCACCCATTAGGAATGGGAGCAGGAGGAGAATCTGGTTCAGGGATTCATACCCTACATTTCTGCTTTTCAAGATTTTCCAAACCATCTTGGCGATTGATCTGTGTTTTATTGCTCTTTCCTAGTAGATTTGCCATCTTTCCCAATGTCAGCTGGAGACAAACTCGCATAGCTGACGTGTCTCTGTCTTCCCATTAGAAGCAAAAGAGATAGAGTTAAATGTTTGAGGTATTGTATATGGTTCTCCCTGACTGATAAGGATCTTGTCAACTGAACAAGGAAGAACTGACCTCTGAACATGTTAGACTGAATCTCTCATCAAAAGAGCTCATTTTCATGAGCCTAATTTCTCAAGGAGCTATTAATTAATTAACTGAGCCCTTCTGTAAGGTTTTATATGAGATCAATATTCAATTTACTGGGCATTTTTCTCCCCATATTTGTATTTATTTATTTATTTACTTACTTACTTACTTATGTGTGTGGCTGACAGGTAAAGGTAATGACTTTCATTCTACCCAAACATTCTTCTTCATTATTTTTGACAAGTGTAAGTAGATCTTTGCGGCGTTTTGAAATCTATCTATTTGCATCAGTTCTGTGCTAGGCAGCAAACATTTATAGCATTTCATATAACAGACTGGAGCATCATGAAAGGATAATAATACACATTAGTGGAAGCAGTCATTTAAGGAAAAGATGTATCCAGAAAATGACCAAGTTATTATGGCAATCATGTCATAGTCAGATCCCAGATCTTGTTACAAAACCCGGGAAATGTACCTTTCCAAAGACACATGCCATTACCTTCCATTTCCTAATAGTCTAGGAATTTGTGTTCACATTCAGAATTAGTAATTTATAAGACTGAATTAATGTAATTTTACAAATATTGTAACTGAAAAAGGCAGGTTAATATTTGATTCTTAATTTTATTGTCACTTACCTTCTCTGTGGACTGCGCAGTACCAAAAAAGATTGGAATAAAAGCTAACCAAATTATGCAGGTGGTGTACATAGTAAATCCAATGGGTTTTGCTTCATTGAAGGTCTCTGGAACCCCTCTTGTTTTAATAGCATACACAGTGCATGTGACCATCAAGAGAATACTGTATCCAAGGGAACAAATGAGAGAAAGATCAGAAATGTCACATTTGAGAACTCCCCTGGCATTTTCTGGATCAAGTGTCCTCTGCTCTCCATAGTCTACTACGATATGTGGTGGATCAACAGCAAACCAGATGAAGACTCCAAGAAGCTGCATGGATATGAGGCTGAAAGTGATCACCAACTGGGAAGCCGGGCTAATAAACTTTGGAGCTGTGACAGATTTTTTACCTTGCTCAAATATTCTGTGGATTCTATTAGTTTTTGTGAGCAAGGCAGAGTAACTGAAGCACATGCCGAGTCCTAAAAAGAGCCGTCGAAATGAGCAGATCACTGTGTCCGGAGCGGCGATCATTAAAAAAGTGATAGAGTAACAGAGAAAAATCCCAGTCAATAGCACGTAGCTGAGTTCGCGGCCAGATGCCCTGACGATGGGTGTGTCATTGTAGCGGACAAATGTCACGATGACAAAGGTGGTTGCAATAATTCCGAGAATAGCTATGAACACGGGCACGATGGCCCAGGGAGAATGCCATTCCAGTTTGATTATTGGAATAAGCTGGCAATCTGTGCGGTTGGCATTTGGTCGCTTATTAAATGGGCACAGTTCACAGGTGAGCTCATCCACTTGGTAATGGTACCCTTCACAGCGTTCACAGTGCCAACAGCAAGGCACTCCCTTTACTGTTTTCTTTCTTTCCCCAGGTTTACAGGGCAGGCTGCAAACAGATGCTGGATGAGTATGATCTCTGCTAGCCCACTGCATGTCTTCTACCTACGGGTATAAAAAATTAATGAGCCTTCCATTTTCCTTCATTTATAATATCCTAATCCTGGCCACAGGTTTGTCATAAATCATGGTGTGCTGACAGTACAAATACAGTTTACTATAATAAGAAACCTGTTTCTTTCCCTTATATTGACTTTATGAAAGTGTTAAATGATTGTGCCCAATAAATCATTCATGCCATGGGCTTGATGAGTGTCATTAGTTTCTATTTACCTCTTTACTGCTGACCAAATTGACATCTGTAAAGAGATTTATTGACTCCAGGCTAGTTTAAAAGCAAAAAGTCCTAAATAAAGAAGTTTATAAACTAATCACATGCAAGTATAAATACCAGTAGTTTTCAAACATTTAATTAGGAAATGTGGAGTATGTGGGTTTGGAATTAATTTCTGGTACTGCAAAAGGACAGATTGAAATCTCCATGCATCAACTCTGACAGAATAAAAAGGACCAGGGAAGGATCCACTTCCATTTAGACATAATGCCATCTCTTCCAAGAAGAACCTGTTATCTGTTTATATGTTTTCATCCTTCAACTTTTGCTCGTAATGCATAAGAATATCTTCCCCCCCCCCCATTTCTAGTAGGTAAAAATATGTATATACCACAATATGATTAATAATTTAAAGAGATGTCACAGTTGCACTTCAGTCCTCCTGGTTTAAAAATTCCACTATCTTTTTATAGTTTAAAATTCATACACGCAGTGCAACCTTGTTTCAAAAGGCCCATCAATCCTGGATCTCTCCACAGTGACGTATAACAAATAGGACGTCTCCCCCACAAAAAATAAAATAAAATCTGTAAAGAAAACTCATGAATCTAACAACATTCTTGCTTAACTTCTGCACCTTGGCCCAGATTCTGCCACCTTTACTCAGGTTGAGTAGCACTTTGCTTCACAAGGGGTCCCACAGATTTAAATAGAGCTACTTACAGAGTAAGGTCTTATTGCAAGGATGGCAGAATCTGGCCCTTTCCTTTGTGCCCCATCTTTCATGTGTACATTATTTCATTAGATTGTAAGCTCTTAAGTGCAGGGACTGGGTCTTCATACTTGCTTGTAAAGTGCCTAGCACAGTTTTGGATTTATAAATTGTATTTATAAGTAAAACAGCAATAATAAACTTCCATATGGCATAGGTGTTTTCACCTTCCGCTGGCAGAGGACAGAGTAAGGCCAGTATGGAAAGGGTGCTAATTTTGGCCTTAGCAGTTCCAGCTGTATTGCCACAAATTTCAGTGAGTGTTAGGCAGCTGCTTGACAGCCTCAGTCCCCTGCCTCCAAGCAGCCAAGCACCAACCATACAGCCATGTTGACTTGACAGTGGAACCTCCGTTCTGCTCTTCTGTGCCATAGGGGACCTTCTGGTTCATTTTATTCTTCACAGCAAAAGTGCCCAACTATAATGATGCATCAAACATAAACACACTCATAAAGCCAAGTCTCTAGGGCCTAGATCTTCAAAGGGATTTCGTCATCTAACTCCCATTACAATCAATGGGAGTTTAGGTACCTAAATATCTTTGATGATCTGGGTCTAAGGGCCTGATGCAAAGTTCACTCAAGTCTATAGGAGTATGTCTACACTGCAATATAACAGTTGTGCCTAACCTGTGTCAGCTAGGGTTGCCAACTTTCTAATTGCACAAAACCGAACACTCTTGCCCCGCCTCCTGCCCCGCCCCTTCTCTAAGGCCCTGCCCCCACCACATCCTGACCAATGGGAACTGCAGAGCCGACGCTCAGGGTGGGGGCAGCACGTGGAGGGTCCCTGGCCGCCCTGCACCTAGGGGCCGGACATGCCAGTCACTTCCGGGGAACTGTGCAGAGCCAGAGCAGGCAGGGAACCTGCCTTAGCCCCGCTGTGTCACTGACTGGACTTTTAAAGGCCCAGTCAGCAGTGCTTACTGGAGCCACCAGGGTCCCTTTTCGACTGGGCATTCCGGTCAAAAACTGGATGCCTGGCAACCCTAGTGTCAGCTGACTCAAGGTCATGGCAGTGTTCCGTCTAATTTTTCCCACATATGTATGGAATGGGTTTTATTATGTGCACCAATATGGAAGTGATGTGTGACACATCACCTCTATATTAGTTCACATAACAAAATTCATGTGGTGGGGGTGGGGCCAATGGGTTCAGAGTGTGGGAGGGGGGCTCAGGGCTGTGGCAGAGGATTAGGGGGTGAGGGCTCCAGAGTGGGGCCATGGATGAGGGGCTCAGGGCTGGGGCAGAGGTTTAGGGTTTGGGGGGGAGGTGAGGGCTCTGCCTGGGGGTGCAGGCTCTGAGGTGAGGCTGGGGATGAGGGGTTTGGGATGCAGGCTGCCCAGGGGCTACAGCGGGGAGAGAGGACTCCCCCCAGCTCTTTCTCTTCACAGAGGCACCTGGGTTGGAGGAGGAGGGGGAGAGGCGCCTCTTCCCTGGCTGCGGCAGGTCCATGCCGGGGCTGGGGTGAGGCCGGGGGAGGGACTTGGCCACTGCAAGTCCGAGGCAGGTCCCTGCTGGGGCCGGCAGGAAAAGGCGCCTCTCCTCACCATGGCAGGTCCGTGCTAGGGGAGCGGCATCTCTCCCCGCCGCAGCCCTGAGCCCATGCGCAGTTTAGGGGGAACATAAGTCATGAGGCTCAGGCTACAGGACTGTAAAATTGCAGTGTAGACTTTTGGGCTCAGGTTGGAGCCCAGATTCTGGGACCCCACAGGTGGGGAGAGTCCCAGAGCCTGAGCTCCAGGCCAAGCCCAAACGACTACACTGCAGTGTTTTAGCCCCACACCCCGAGCCTCACGAGCCTGAGTCAGCTGACACAGGCCAGCCAACACGGGCCAGCTATGGGTGTTTTATCGCAGTGTAGACATACCCTGGGAGTCTTAGGCTATTCTACAGTCCTCCTGATTCTCAAGACCAGCAATCATACTATTTTGGGCAACCTAATTCATCTAATAGGAATGAAGGAAAAGTGTTGCTATGAATTCTGAATGATAACTAAAAGTACGATATTAGCACTTTTACCTCACATCGGTGTTGTGAAGATAAATACATTAAAGACTGTGAGTAATGGTAAAATATCATTCATATATATATCACTCGAGTACTTCTGAGTGTTTCCCTTGTTTAGCTGAGCAAAATGGGTACAGTTTCTTTTAATCTACAACTATGCAGTATTTTACAAAATTTCATCCAGCCCTTATCACTGTTCTTGAATGTCCCTCAAAACTCTTGCAGTTAGTAAATACATTTCAATGTCTCAAAAGTTACATGATCCAGTGACAACAGGGGTAATAAATGCCCATCTGGAGAAGGTCACTAGTAATGATTCATATTATAATTTTCATTCCAGTAGATCTGGCACACAAAATATATACCACATAATTCATATTATGACAATATAATGCTACAAATATTGGAAAAACTCACCAGAAGAGCAAACTTGCTTTTTTTTCTTTAAAAAAAAAAAAAATCATTCCAGTCTTTTAAGCCTAGAATTATCTAAAACAAAGTGATCTTTCAAGGCTCAACAAATGTACATAAAAATAGGAAATATTCAATATTTGAAGCTGGGGAGGGTTGGAATGTTTTATCCCCCTATTTCAGTTTATTTCTCCCAAATTTTCCTGTCTGAGTGATTTTTTTTAGGCTAATCTCATGATTAGATTCATAGATCCAGATTGCCCCAGACATGGAAAAAAGGTCCCTAGCAGACAGGAAATTCTGTGAGTCCCTGCTTATGGGATTGTCATTGCATCATTAAACTTTAGGAGAAAGAGGAGGTTGTTCCCAAAGAAGAAGTAGTAAGCAACTGGGCCTTCTAAATCCAAGGATAACCAGTGATCTTCAAAGTCCTTTTCCCTTCACAGAGTGTCACACGTAGGGTGACCAGATGCTAAGTGGAAAATATCGGGACCGCCGCAGGGGTTACACTTACCTGTCTGGGTCTTCGGTGGCATTTCAGTGGCGGGTAATAAACCTTGTCGCCAAAGACAGAAGCACCCGCCGCCGAATTGCTGCCAAAAATGGGTGAATGTAAAAAAAACCAAACCGAAACAAAATATCGGGACAAATGGCGTCCCAACCGTACTTTGGTCGGGACGCGGGACAAACTCCTCAAAATCGGGACAGTCCCGACTCACATGCAGCACTGCTTCTATAGAAGTCATGCACTCTACCACCTCTTCCTCCTCCTCCCAGGGCCACCCAGAGGATTCAGGGGGCCTGGGGTCTTCGATGGCAGGTCCCGGAGCGAGTGAAGGACCCACCGCCGAATTTCTCCGAAAACTCTCATGGGGGGGCCCTGAAAACTCTTGTGGGGGCCCCTGCGGGGCTCAGGGCCTGGGGCAAATTGCCCCACTTGCTCCTCCCTTGGGCGGCCCTGCCTCCTCCACTGCCAGAGATCCCTGCAGATCACTCAGAGACCACTCCCATGGAGGGGGATGATACCACAGAGCAAGCGTTACTTCTCTTTGGGTGTCCCCAGACATCTGCTAGAGGTCCCCTTTACTCGCAGAAAGGGAAGCAGCGATCCAGCTCACATAAATTAAAGACTGAAAAGACATGTTGCTGTAGGTCATCTAGCTGAACCCCCAGGTACCTATAAACCTCCAGTATGCTATGTACTTCTTATATTTTAAAAACTTTATTTTACTTAATATGAATGTACTGACGTAACTCAGTACATTTCACAATGGCCAGAGTCTTTTACAACACTCTCAAAATCCCTTGCAGTTTTTCTATCATAAAGTGAACTATATAAAAATGGATTAAGCGCCCCAAACCTCAAGGCATAATCAACTCACAAATTAACAGTATTGCATTTTTCTCTGAATTTAACTGGAGACCCACTGGTTATAAGAAAGGATAGCAAGATACGAAAAGGAGAGAGGAGAAGAAATGGGACAAGACTTTCACAATTGTTTGCCTAAAGCTAGGTTCCTAAATCCACACTGAGGCACTTAAATAAATGTTCTAATTTTCAGAATTGTTGAATGTCCA